TGGAGTGAATGGGTATTATGTGATGTAATAGATGTAATAGTAATGTATTGATAACCACGAGGTGGGGATGAATGGTTAATATGTGATATAATAGTAGTCTATTAATCACCACGGGGTGGGGATGAATGGATAATATATGATGTAATAGTAATGTATTGATCACCACGGGGTGGGGATGAATGGATATTATATGATGTAATAGTAATGTATTGATCACCACGGGGTGGGGATGAATGGGTTTTATGAGATGTAATAGTAATGTATTGATCACCACTGGGTGGGGATGAATGAGTATTATGTGATGTAATAGTAATGTATTGATCACCACGGGGTGGGAATGAATGGGTATTATGTGATGTAATAGTAATGTATTGATCACCACGGGGTGGGATGAATGGGTATTATGTGATGCAATAGTAGTGTATTAATCACCACGGGGTGAGGATGAATGGATATTATATGATGTAATAGTAATGTATTGATCACCACTGGGTGGGGATGAATTGGTTTTATGAGATGTATTAGTAATGTATTGATCACAACGGGGTGGGGATGAATGGGTTTTATGAGATGTAATAGTAATGTATTGATCACCACGGGGTGTGGGATGAATGGGTTTTACGAGATGTAATAGTAATGTATTGATCACCATGGGGTGAGGGATGAATGGGTTTTATGAGATGCAATAGTAATGTATTGATCACCACGAGGTGGGAATGAATGGTTAATATGTGATATAATAGTAGTGTATTGATCACCACTGGGTGGGGATGAATTGGTTTTATGAGATGTATTAGTAAGGTATTGATCACAACGGGGTGGGGATGAATGGGTTTTATGAGATGTAATAGTAATGTATTGATCACCACGGGGTGTGGGATGAATGGGTTTTACGAGATGTAATAGTAATGTATTGATCACCATGGGGTGAGGGATGAATGGGTTTTACGAGATGTAATAGTAATGTATCGATCATCACGGGGTGGGGATGAATGGGTTTCATGAGATGTAATAGTAATATATTGATCTCCACGGAGTGGGGATGAATGTGTATTATGTGATGCAATAGTAGTGTATTAATCACCACGGGGTGGGGATGAATGGATATTATATGATGTAATAGTAATGTATTGATCACCACGGGGTGGGGATGAATGGGAATTATGTGATGCAATAGTAATGTATTAATCACCACGGGGTGGGGATGAACTGATATTATATGATGTAATAGTAATGTATTGATCACCACGGGGTGGGGATGAATGGGTATTATGTGATGCAATAGTAGTGTATTAATCACCACGGGGTGGGGATGAATGGATATTATATGATGTAATAGTAATGTATTGATCACCTCGGGGTGGGGATGAATGGGTATTATGTGATGTAATAGTAATGTATTGATCACCACGGGGTGGGGATGAATGGGTTTTATGAGATGTAATAGTAATGTATTAATCACCACGGGGCGGGGATGAATGGATATTATATGATGTAATAGTAATGTATTGATCACCACGGGGTGGGGATGAATGGGTTTTATGAGATGCAATAATAGTGTATTAATCACCACGGGGTGGGGATGAATGGATATTATATGATGTAATAGTAATGTATCGATCACCACGGGGTGGGGATGAATGGTTTTTATGAGATGCAATAATAGTGTATTAATCACCACAGGGTGGGGATGAATGGATATTATATGATGTAATAGTAATGTATTAATCACCACGGGGCGGGGATGAATGGATATTATATGATGTAATAGTAATGTATTGATCACCACGGGGTGGGGATGAATGGGTTTTATGAGATGCAATAATAGTGTATTAATCACCACGGGGTGGGGATGAATGGATATTATATGATGTAATAGTAATGTATCGATCACCACGGGGTGGGGATGAATGGTTTTTGTGAGATGTAATAGTAATATATTGATCACCACAGGGTGGGAATGAATGGGTATTATGTGATGTAATAGTAATGTATTGATCACCACGGGGTGGGGATGAATGGATATTGTATGATGTAATAGTAATGTATTGATCACCACGGGGTGGGGATGAATGGATATCATATGATGTAATAGTAATGTATCGATCACCACGGGGCGGGGATGAATGGATATTATATGATGTAATAGTAATGTATTGATCACCACGGGGTGGGGATGAATTGGTTTTATGAGATGCAATAGTAGTGTATTAATCACCACGCGGTGGGAA